TCAATATTTATTTGACGTGAAATTAAAAAAATGAGAAAGTAAGTAGTAATATATTTAATTTTTTTTATTTAAAATAGTATTTATGAAATGAATTTATCAAATAAAATAAAATGATTAAAAATCTTTTTGTATAACTACGAAAATTTCATAAAATATACATATTTTTTTTTTGTTATTATTATTATTATTATTAAAACTTTAGTTAAATAAATGTGGAGAGCCAAAATTGGGCGTCAACAGCTTGCCCCTTTCTTTGTCCATGGAAGAGAGTAGAGAAGACGTGGACAAAGAAACATTGACACGATCAAATTTTAGGCGACCCACTAAAATACACCTTGAGCAAAACTCGGCAAGAAATATTTATGGAGTTATGGCCGAACTCTGGCTTCTGAGTTGCCTACATATCTTAGGTTTCATGAGAAATCAGACCATATGTTGTTCGAGAGTGTAGGAACATAGCAAATTTTTGTTAAATTTTTTTCCCCAGTATCAAATTATGGTAATACTGAAATGTTTTGGTGGTTAGGTTTGAATAAATTAGCTCGAATAGAGGGACGAGATATAGTTCTAAAGAACATAAATGAGAAATGTTCCGTAGCAATTTCTATTGGAGACTTATGGTAGAGGGATGATTTTTTTTAAAAGAATGCCCCAGTGTCGGGTTATAATGAAGTGAGACCAGAGAGAGTTATCTGAACTTTTGAAAATCGAGTCGAGTTGAGTTTTGAAAGTGAATCTTTGACGTAGCTAGTGATGCTTAATATTGCACTAACTTGCCCTAGTTTGCTGCTTAGAGGGAGTTCCTCGTTGTAATGCGTTGTCCTGCAAAACAAGTAAAAAGGTGAAAAGTACCTCTTGCGGTTCAAAAAATTATAAGTTGAAATTGGAAGGTAAAGAGTAGAGTGTAGATGTCCAAACGATTGTTGATGTCCCCATTTTTTGTGTTGTGAATGTGATGTAGGTAAAGTAACTTGTAATGTAAAGCCCCTCAACTGGCGGGGCTGTTGTAATGTAAAAGCATGTATCTGGTTGTGTAAAACTTGTAATGTAGACCTCCGCTTGGCGGGGCTATTGTAAAGTAAAAGCCTGTATCCGACTTTTTAAAGCTTGTAATGTAACATATTATTGTTAGTGTATGAAAGTGTCATTGTGCTTGCATGCCCCCAGTCGGTGGAGCTTCGGTGACGTCACTACGATGTCATCTCTGATTGGCGGAGTGTTGCTTCTTTTGGTTATATATAGGATCCGATTGGCAGAATTGGATCAATGTTTGCTATGTACAACCTCCGATTGGCGGATTTTGACGATGTTTGCTATGTACAGCCTCCGATTGACGGAGTTTGATGATGTTTTCTATGTACAGCCTCCGATCGGTAGAGTTATTGATGAAGTTACATTACAAGCTCCAGTTGGTGGAGTAATCTTGACATGAAGCTAACTATCCTATATTCCTACGAGGATCCTCTTTTCTTCAGTATTTGATCTGGATCTCGAGCGTACTTGCAAAGATTTAAATAAAATATTCTTAGACATATTATGTAGGTTGAAGTTCTTCTAAGAAATAAAGTAAGGAAATAATAGTTTGGCTCATGATTGTGAGAAGTCGAGTGGCTCTTCCGATCATACCCCGAGACTTGATGTTATTTTCCTCGATTCCTGTATTCCTGCACTCAAAGAAAATTTTAGTTTGGGAGGGGGTGTCGATTTGTATCGACTTGCGTATTGAAGCCTCGTCACTGGAATCCTTTGACACTTTCTTGGCCCTGCACATAGTTTCTTAGCCTAGAGACTTGGTAGGTGGAAGAGTAAAAAAAAAAATCTTTGGAAAAAGAATTAGCTTGTTTGTCTGGAAAATAAGTATACTACGTATATATTAAGTGTATATATATATATATATATATTAATCCTCCACCGTTTTTAGATCATGACATGTTTCGAAGTCCATTGAGATTTTCATTTTGTTGACTATATCCAACATAGTCTTTTTGTACCACCTTTTACCCTCCTGATGAAGCTTCCCTAGCTCTTTTGCAGACCTTATGACGATCGATATTCTTCATATTCTGAGGTTAACGTTAACTATGAGGAAGTGTTTCCTAGGGGTGAAAAACAAAAATTGAAATTATGCGGTGCATTGATCGAGCCTGACTCAGGCTGCCTATGTATCCCCAAAGTGGGAATCGTAGTTCAAATACAAGTGAGAGAAATAGAAGCATGTATTGCAATGATCGAGCTTGACTTAAGCTGCCTACATATCCAAGTGGAATCATGTCAGGACGTAGTTCAAATACAATAGAAAAGTGAAAAATGCAAGGGACCGAATCCGACAAGGATTGCCTACGTATCCCACCAAGGGAATTTAGGTCGAGCGTAGTTCTAAATACATGAAAATGATATTTTGGGTTTTCTAAGGGAGATCGGATCCGATGTGGGTTGCCTACGTATCCCACCGTGGGAAGTCAGGTCTAGACGTAATTATATTACAACAAAATGCAAAATTACAAGAAATAAACACTAATCTTGTGGTCTTCAAATGTAGAATTTCTTAATGGCGTCTGAATTGATTGGCTTTGTGCTCACTCTGCCGTCCATTTCTGCTAAGATTACCGCTCCTCCAGAGAGTACTCTATGAACCATGTAAGGTTCTTGCCAATTTGGTGCAAATTTCCCTTTGGCTTATCCTTGGTGAGGAAAGATCTTCTTCAATACTAATTGCCCCGGTGTGAACTGTCGAGGTTTGACTTTCTTGTTGAATGCTTTGGTCATTTTGTTCTGATAGAGTTGTCCATGACAAACCGCGTCCATCCTCTTTTCATCGATGAGCATCAATTGTTCATGCCTGCTACGTATCCATTCTGCATCATCCAGAACAACCTCTTGGATAATCCTTAAAGTTGGTGTTTCCACCTCGACAGGTATTACTGCCTCCGAACCATAAACCAACATATAAGGGGTTTCCCCAGTTGACGTTCTGATTGTGGTGTGATAACCGAGCAAAGCATATGGTAGCTTCTCATGCCATTGCCTATGACTGTCCACTATTTTCCTTAAAATCTTCTTGATATTATTATTTGCAACCTCAACTACCCCATTCATCTATGGACGGTAAACCGTGGAATTTCGATGAGCAATCTTGAACCTTTCACAAGTTTCCTTCATAAGATCGTTGTTGAGGTCGGTCGCATTATCTGTTATGATTGATTCTGGAATTCCAAACCGATAAACTATGTTATTGGGAACAAAGTCTACCACTACCTTCTTAGTCACTGCCTTGTATGTCGAAGCTTCGACCCATTTTGTGAAATAGTCAATAGCCACCAGGATGAAACGATGTCCATTTGACACGGAAGGCTCTATGGGTCCAATAACATCCGTGCCCCAAGTAGCAAATGGCCAAAGGGAACCCATCACATTGAGTTCATTCAGTGGAACTCGTATAAAATATCCATGCACTTGACACTGATGACACTTTTGCACATACCGGATGCTATCTCTCTCCATGGTCATCAAAAATTATCTGGCTCTTAGAATCTTCTTTTCCAAAGTGAACCCATTCATGTGAGGTCTACACGTTCCTGCGTGTATTTCTTCCAAAAGCCTTGTCGCTTCTGCGGCGTCGGCATACCTCAGCAATCCTAAATCTGAAGTTCTCCTATATAGGATTTCTCTTTTAAGGAAGAAATGATTGGCCATCCTCCTCAAAGTCCGTTTCTGCTTGCTTGTTGCATTTTCAGGATATTCTTGTGCTTCTATCAATCTTCTGATGTCATAGTACTAGGGTTTTCCATCTAGTTCCTTATCTACATGAAAACAATATGCATGTTGATCATGTATCTCTATATCGATAGGGTCGATGTAATTCTTATCTGGATGTTGAATCATCGAGGACAATGTTGCCAAAGCATCAGCAAACTCATTTTGAGCTCGAGAGACATGCTTGAACTCAGTCCTTGTGAATCTTCTACTCAACTCTTTTATGTAATGCAAATTAGGAAGGATCTTGACATTCTTAGTGGTCCATTCTCCTTGTACTTGATGAACCAACAAGTCGGAGTCTCTTATCACCAAGAGTTCTTTGATATTCATGTTTATGGCCATTCTGAGTTCGAGAATACAAACTTCATATTCCGCCATGTTATTGGTACAGTAGAACCTAATCTTGGCTGAGATTGGGTAATACTGACCTATTTCCAAAATTAAGACTGCTCCTATTCCAACTCCTATAGAGTTTGATGCCCCATCAAAGAACATTCTCTATCCATGATACAATTCTCATATATCTTTTCCTACAAACAGCACCTCTTTATCAGGGAAGTAGGTCGTGAGTGGCTTGTAATCCTAGTCCACCGAATTTTCTGCGAGGTGATCAGCCAAGGCTTGTCCTTTGATGGCCTTCTGTGTCACGTACACAATATTAAACTTGTTCAATAAAATTTACCCCTTCACTAATTTACCCATAGGCATGGGCTTCTGAAATATGTACTTTAGTGGATCCAGTTTTGAGATCAAGTATGTCGTGTATGCAAACAGGTAATGCATAAATTTTTGCGCAATCTAAGTCAAAGCGCAACATGTTCGTTCCAACAAGGTGTATCTTGCCTCATATGGTGTGAACTTCTTGCTCAAATAGTAAATGGCTTGCTCTCTTCTACCTGTCTCATCATACTGCCCCAATACACATCCAAATGCATTATCCATGACAGACAGGTATAATAACAAAGGCTTTCCAGGCTCTGCTGGGACCAATACTGGTGGGTTGAACAAGTATTATTTGATTCTATCGAAAGCCTTTTGGTATTTCTCTGTCCATTTCGTGGCAGCATCCTTCTTCAGTAATTTGAATATGGGTTCACAGATCATTATGGATTGAGCTATGAAACCGACTAAAGTAAATCAGTCTTCCCAAGGAACTCATCATGTCCTTCCTGGTCTTGGGTGGAGGTAGCTTTTGGATTGCTTTTATCTTCGATGGATCCAACTCTATGCCTCTCCTGCTAACGATGAATCCCAATAGTTTTCCCGCGGGTACTCCAAATGCACACTTTGCTGGATTCAACTTCAGATTATACTTACGCAACCTCTCAAAGAACTTTCGTAAGTCATACAGGTGGTCTGAACTTCTTTTAGATTTGATAACGACATCATCCACGCACACTTTAATTTCCTTGTAAATCATATTGTGGAAAAGGGTAGTCATGGCCCTCATGTAGGTTGAACCGGCATTTTTGAGACCAAATGGCATTTCTCTATAGCAATACACTCCCTATGGAGTGATAAACGTTGTCTTTTCTGCATCATCCCCATCCATTAGGATTTGGTGATATCGTGCAAAGCAATCGACAAATGAGTATATGAATATTTGGAAGAGGGAAATCATCCTTAGGACTGGCGCTGTTGAGATCTCTATAGTCCACACATATTCTGATCTTTCCATCCTTTTTTGGAACAAGCATAATATTGGCTAACCATGTAGGTAATTTGTAACCTTCACAACGTTCGCCTCAATTTGCTTAGTTACCTCTTCTTTGATCCTTAAACTCAAATCTGGCTTGAATTTTCTTGTCTTTTGCTTAACGGGTAGACAAGTAGGATCATTTGGTAATTTGTGCGAGACAATATCAGTGCTTAATCCTGACATGTCATCATAAGACCAAGTAAATACGTCAACATACTGCTTAAGCAACTCTATTAACTCTTGCTTTCTTTCAGCCTCCAAATGTATGCTGACTCGTGTTTCTTTCACGATTTCCTCTTCTGCTAAGTTGACAACCTTTGTTTCATCCATATTGGGTTTTTTCTGACTTTCAACTTGCTCGATCTCATGTAGTAGATTTTCTGGCATCATGCTTTCATCGTACTCTTTGTGATCTTGTTCATCGCTTTCACCTTGCTCGGTGGATTCGTTACATGTCATAACCGTTTAACAAAGATTTTTATTAATATGAGTGCTGAAAAGTGCAAAAGGTAAGTAAAAATAAATAGATATTTAAAATAACGAGAAATTTTTTAAAGAGAATAAAGACTTTTTATTTCAAAGCATTCTAGCTTTTAAAAGAGGCAAGCAACAAAAGATTAGGCATGATTCAAGCCTCAATTTGAGCATGCGAAATTTTAAAATTAAGACTACTTTTCCACGCTACCAGGACTCTGGTTGAAACAGGGACGGGCTGGTGGTCCAGTTCTGCAAGATTTCTCCAGGTTCGGCATCACGAATGGTCAACTTGTTAAGATTTATCCCTTCCTCTTCTCCAGCCATGGCCATGAACAGATTGCCTATTCCTTCTACAATGTCATCAACGCCAGCTTGATCTGGAATCAAAGCTTGTTCTGGTACAAATATTGTATCGCTTAACCTGTGACAGTCTCTTCCCGAGGTAGGCTCATATCCGAATCCATTGGTGCCTCTCTGATGCTTCAACTGGATCGGCTTAACTATGCCATTGGACTTAGGTCCAAGTCCATTCTTAGGCTGATATCCATATTTCAACATCTCTGACACAACCATTTTCGCTGCATTTGACAACTTTGTATTACCTGCCTCTGCTTCCTCACCGACCCTTATAGCTTGCATAATTTCTAATGTGTGAAAGGTAGCTCCATCTAACTTGTCAGCGACTAGGATAGAATTAACAGAAAGGATGGGGTGACTGAGCTCTCCGTGGATGGTAACTTCTGTGCGACCCCACTCAAACTCTACACATTGGTGAAGAGTGGAAGGAACCGCTCTTGCCATGTGAATCTATGGTTTTCCCAGCAACAGGTTGTAGTTAGATGATACATCCATCACTTGAAATAGGATGGGGAATTCAGCCGGCCCCACTTGCAATGTGAGATAGATCTCTCCAATGACACTTCTTTACGCTCCATCAAAAACTTTCACACGACTTTCCCTTATCTCTTCCATATTAACACCTAAATCCCTCAAAGTGGTAAAAGGACAGATGTTGCATCCAGAACCACCATCAATTAGAACTCAAGTCACAACCTTATCACAACACTTGACTGCGATATGAAGGGCTTTGTTGTGCCCAGCCCCTTCTGCAAGCAGCTCATCATCATGGAAAGAAATCTTATTAGCTTCCACTATTCTTCCAATCGTTGAAGCTAAGGTTTCATTGGTGGTCTCTTTTGGAATATTCACTCCGTCTAACACTTCCATCAAAGCATTCCTATGAGCTTCAGGACTCATAAGTAGAGACAAAATAGATATGTGGGCAGTCATCTTCTTCAGCTACTCTTTGACTGAATATTCTTTAGGCTGCATCTTCTTCCAAAATTTTGCGGCTTCAGCATCAGTAACATTGTTCCTTGGATTCTGTTCTTTTCCAAGAACTCTTTGATTTAGGTCCTCTGGGGCATAATACCTCCCCGACCTAGTCATCTCTTGAGCCACGACAGTGTCAATTATCTTGCCCTTGGCATGTGCTCGATAGTCCCATGGGATTGCATTGGTGTCATATTCATGCTTTTCGCAATCAGAGTGGTCACTACAACTCTTGGGAGATATGTTTGGACAGTCAAAGGTTCCCTTAGTTGAATAGTGATAACATGTTGCGCCGAAGATGTCATGGTATCTGGTTCATCTATGTCTGGACAGTCAGGACCCCTATATTCTTTATATCAAGTAACCATGTTGACTTCCTGATTCTCATGGTTTGGCAAGGGGTTGTTGTTCACATTGGGAGGCGCTAGAGTGCATTTGATTACTCCTCTTCTAATCAAAGACTCGATCTGGTTCTTTAACCCATAACAATCTTCTGTGTCGTGTCCTTGGATTCCCGAGTGGTAAGCGCATCGCTTATTTTCATCAAAATTACGAGGGATTGGATCGGGAAGTTTTCCTTCAACTAGTTGCAGCACTCCCGCTATCCTCAACCTTTCAAACAATTGGGCGTAAGGTTCGGTAATCGGTGTGTAAGTGCGAGCATTTCTAGCTTCAAAATTTAGATGTGGTCTCGGTGTATATGTTGGTCTATTTTGGTGGATTGGTTCTTGGACAGGGACATATGGTCTTGGAGGATTTTGGTATGTTGGTGCTCGGGGTGGATTATAGTGTGGTTGGGTATTATATACTGGGTATGGGACGTATGAAGTATGCACAACGATTTGGGGATAACTGGGTATCGGTGGGACGATCCTCCTTGTTGGTAAGTGACAACTGAAACATCCTCCCGTTTCTTTTTATGCCGCCAATGGAACCCGATTGTATAGCCCTACTTGCGGCTTGCAATGCGACCATAGACTGAATCTTCCCAGATTTAACACCCTCTTCTATAAAGTCTCCCATTTTGACCAATTCTAAAAACTTCTGGCCCATCATTGACATCATCTTGTCGAAGTAGACACCTTCTTGAGCTCGAATAAAGTACTTCGAGAGCTCATTCTCATCTAGTGGTGGTTGCACCCTTGCTGCCTCTATTCTCCAACGTCATCCATATTCCTAGAAATTCTCAAATGGCTTCTTCTGTATATTGGCCAATGAGAATCTGTCAGCAGTGATT